ATATCCAAACCCAGCTGTAGAAAGCAAATCATTTCACAATGCTTTTTCAGCATGTCTGATTTGGGGGGGGTTGTAAACTCTAAATAATAATGGTGCATCTTTTATCAAAACAATGAATCGAGTCAAAGTAGACAGAGTGTTAACTAGAACTCATCTGCCTCACAGGAATTGGGAGGGGTGGGAGGTGGGGTTCTATTGGGGTTCGCGGTTAAAAATAAGTATTGGTAAAGGGAAATGTGTTTGATATTTACACGACTGAGACCTAAACCTGAAAGCTCTGTAACTTTTCCCACAGTGATTCAATAAATAAATAAATTATTAAAAAAAAGAAAAAAAAGAAAATGTGTTTGAGCCTCACTGTCTCCCTGAGACTTGAGCACTCGGTGCCGTGTGTGAGCCCAGTAGAGTCTCCGGCCTGAACAAGCCCCGTCCCCCTCACCCCCATGCTCCTGTGTTTGGACCGTGACCCTAAATCCTGTGATGGGATCACGTGTGTCCATGACAAAGACGCTAGCAGGCTCATACCCTAGAACATCCCTGCTTCACACAGGCTTGGCACACAGGTCCTGGCCTGCTAGCGACCGGCAGTGATTCGGCAGGAAGCAGACGTGTGAGCCTGAACGTGGGTCAAGTCCGTTCCTTCAGCTTGGAGGGGAGGAATGTCCGAGAGGGGGTTTTGAGCACTGCCTCACAAGCATGAGGTCCTGGGTCCAAGCCCCTGGGGTCACACGTGTACCTGGTACAAAGCCGGCACCAACCAGGCAGCTCTGCTGTCCCAGCACCACGCAGGAAGGGGGGTGGCCCCAGGGGGAGGGCCACCGAGAGAGGAGGTGGACACCACAGAAAAGAGGAGGGAACACAGGGCAGGAGTTGAGGGCTGCAGGACCGGGAGCACTGGGTAGAGAGCAGCCCTGGGGAGCAGGAGGCCAGGAGGGCGCCCCTTGTCACTGGCCACTCGAGGCAGTCACACAAGCCGTGTGCAGACCCACGAGGCTGACAGGGCGCCAGGGACAGGGCAACCCCAGCAAGGATTTTTCTTTAAGTTTTGGGCCATGGGGCCAGAACTCTAGTACAGCGGGGAGGGCGTTTGCCTTGCACACAACTGACCCGGGTTCAATCCCGGCATCCCATAGGGACCCCAGAGCACTTCCAGGAGTAAGTCCTGAGTGCAGAGCCAGGAGTGACCCCGGAACATGTCCAGGTGTGACCCAAAAACAAAACAACAGCAGAGCAAGCGGAAGGGCCCGGAAGCTCCGAGCCATGGAAACGCCAAGGTTGGTTGGTGCCCACTCGCCCCCCGCCCCCCGCCAGGCCAGGCCGGCCTAGGATCAAGGTGTGCGAGCGTCTCCAGACAGGATCTGCCTCAGTGGTTCGGTGCGTTATCTCAGCCTATCACCCAACTCGACTGGGACTGACTCTGGTTATCTCCTTGACTGGTTATCTTGGGCATCTCCGGGGCCAGCCCCCAATCTTCATCCTCCCACCTGGCCAGGGCGGGATCTGGTGTCAGCAGCTGGGCCCTGAACACCCCATCTGCCCGTCCAAACGCCACGCAAGCACAAAGGCCAGGCTCGCCCCCAACTCGTAGGACACGACCAAGCTAGGGGCCCCGGAGAGCACTGGGCCCGAGGACGGGTCCCAGAGATCCCCAAATTTCCCTTGCTCGACGGCCCGGCCCAGCAATCTGCATCAACCACTGGGCCCGAGCTCTCTGCTTTCCTTCTGCTTGCTCAGCGAAACGCAGCACCTCACACCTGTGTTTGGAGGGGAGGAACACCAAACTTTTTTTTTTGGCTTTTTGGGTCACACCTGGCGATGCACAAGGGTTATTCCTGGCTCTGCACTCACAGGGGTTACTCCTGGCTCTGCACTCAGGAGTTACTCCTGGCAGTGCTCAGGGGACCATATGGATGCTGGGACTCGAACCCGGGTTGGCCACGTGAAAGGCACACGCCCTACCCGCTGTGCTATGTCTCCAGTCCCGGAACTCCAAACTTTATATAGAAAACAATGTATTTCACAATGCCTTTTCAGCCATTCTGATTGTTGGGGGGTAAATTCTAAACAATCATGGTGCATCTTTTGTTGAAATAATGAATGTAATCAATGTAGAGGAGAGTTAAGGAGAAATCATCTACCTCACAGGCATTGGGTGGGTGGGAGGTGGGGTATATTGGGATTCTTGGTGGTGAAAAATGAGCACTGGTGAAGGGTGAAGGGAAAGGAGTTTGATCATTGCATGACCGAGACTTAAATCTGAAAGCTTTGTAACTTTTCCCACAGTGATTCAATAAATAAATATAAGAAGAAAAATAATAAATAAATAAAATTATGAAAAACAAAAAAAAGTAAGGTGGAGTTCAAGCCCAATTCAATCAGCTAATCAGTGGCTGAATAAATAGCAGTACTCCTACATTAAAAGCAAACAAACAAACAAACGAAAAACACTACTTGTTAGGCGAGTGCATCAGCAGCCTGATGGCACCTTCAGACTCCAGATACCCCAAAATTGCTGCTGTGCCTTTGGCCAGACCCCAAAAACTTGGGGCAAAGTTTACCAAGAAAGGAAACGGCCAAAAGTTAGGTATGTGGGAAACACACCCACAAGCCACCTCCGGCTCAGCTATATCCTTGGAGGCAAGGCCTCTCTGGTTCCTGATTGAACTGCTCAATGGCCATGATCGCAGAGACTTAGAAACAAATCTTGAAACCCAGTAGATTTTGGCAGAAATGCATCTGGTCCCTGCAGTGCTGGGCCCATGGTTTCATGCCTTGGCCTGTTCCCCCTGGCGGCCAGGTGGCCGCCATCCTCCAGAGGTCACTGGACAGTCAGGCTTGGGCCCTCAGTGACAAAACTTGTTGGGCCTCACAGGATGGGGGTGGAGCCAGTCCTGTCCTCCCCGTCCCAACAAGACCCCAAGTCATCGTCCCTGAACGGCCTCTCTGACTCCTGATCAAGCTGACCAGGATGCCAGAGACTCAGGAGCAAATCTCGGAACCCAGCAGGTTTGGGAAGAAATCCCTCCACATTGAAGTGTTCAAATTTGGAATTTCAAAATCGCGCAACCACTACTGCAGCCACATAACATCATAGGTTATTCATAACCAGCAATAGAAAACAAAGTGTCTACTGTTGCCTTTTCAGCAGATCTGAGTGTTGGGGTAAAATCTCAAACAATAATGGTGAGTCTGGTGTCAAAATACCGAATGTGATCAAAGTCGAGAGAGAATAATTTGGAAATCATCTGCCCCACACGTAGGGGGAGGGTGTGGGATGGGGGTATATTGGGGTTGTTGTTGGTGGAGAATGGGCACTGGTGAAGGTACGGGTGTTTCATTGTATGACCGAGACTTAGACCTGAAAGCTTTGTAACTGCTCTCACGGTGATTCAATAAATAAAATCATAAAAAATGAAAAAAAAAAGTTAGGTGGAGTTCATGCACAATTCAATCAGCTAATCAGTGGCTGGATAAATAGCAGTACTCCTAAATAAAAAAAAAAGAGAGAGAGAGAAATCCAGAAAAACACGGCAAATCTGTACTCCAAGCACACTCCTCCCCAAACGATCCATTTTCCCCCACCCGAGATAAAGCCGACATGCTATGGGTCACATCCTCCTGCCACTGACCCCCAAAACCCGACGCTCCCTCCTCCCACCCCAGGGACTGATGGCACAAACTCCATCTTTGTGTCACGCCGTACATGAGACATTTGTCACTAGAACCTGATGACTCACTTCAGAACGTCAACAGAAGCCACAAAGATGGGGAGCACTGCTCGGGGAGCACCATGCAGAGGCTGCTCAGACCCTCTCTGCCTCTGTCCCCCACCTGCTCTGGGGACGATGCATAGACAAGTGGCCAGGGCTTGAGAACAGAGGAACCAAGCCTGGAGGAAGCGGGTGCTTGTGTTTTGTTTTCTCTGGAGGCCTCTAACTACGGCTCCTCTTAAGAGACAAAGAAGGCCGCAAATAGGCAAACACTCTGAACTCGGTTAGCACCCAACTCTGATCTACCACCAAGATCTGCTCTAAATGAACCTTGAAAGGGTACGCCAAATATCTCTCAGGGAAGCAAATAACCTTAGGGGATTATCTGCTCTGGTACTAAAAATGGGGAAAAAAAAAGTCTGCTTTGTATTTCTTGAAAATGTCAGCTGGACTCAAAGCTGGGGTTTCCGAAGGCAGTTCTGTTTCATCCCGCAGCACAAATGCTTCCTCCCTGGTAGAGCTTTGGCTCACGTCTGTCCAGCGTCTTCTGGACGGGGAAACACCAGCCCTGGGAGGTGTGGCGTGATGGGACACTGGCACACAGGAAGCACCTCAATTTGGGTCATTTTCCCCTCTTAGGACTCCGAGGACCCCTTACCCCTCGGGCAGCACCGCATGACATTCTATCAGGAAGTTACATAAAAATCAGTCTTCCGTTCCAAACAAAATTTCAGGAGCTGCAGACACAGTTCAAGACTATATACAGCCTGAAGGCACAGGACATATGCAAACGGCATCTATTCACTGTCATCAGTGAGCCCCGTCACCCACCTCACGCTGGCATTCAACTTCAAAATATCCAGATAGAGGAAATTTTTATGTGTCAGGGGGAAAAATCAGAGTTAGCAAGAGCTCAAAGAGAAGAGCAAGCCGGCAAACAGGACTGAGAGAAGGTGACCGGAGGTGAGGCTGGTCTCTGGCCTAACCCGGGTCCCAGCCCCAGCTGCCCTGCAGAACCCACCAGCGGACACCCCACATGCCTCGGAAAACTCACAGACACCCCACATGACATGGAATCCCCCCAACGCTCACAGCCGCTCAGTACTGACTCACACCCGCCCTTCCATGCAAAAGACCTGAAGGAACAAGGATCCCCAGGTCGAAGCTTCTAGTGTCGGGGCTGGAACGATAGTACAGCAGGGAGGGCATTTGCCTTGCATGCAGCCAACCTGGGTTCAAATTCTGGCATCCCATATGGTCCCCTGAGCACCACCAGGAGTAAATCCTGACTGCACAGTCAGGAGTAACACCCGTGCCTCTCCGGGTGCAAAAATTAACAATAAAAAGATAACACCGTGGAGGTGTGCAGACTGGGGGCGGGGTGCAGAGGGAGACCTCCCAGAGAGCCTGGCCCAGAATGAGCATAACATCCCCAAAGACCCCGTAGGATGGCTCCGCCAGGTCTGGGGTGCAGCCTCACACTTGAGTCTAAGCCACCCTGGTCAGGATGTCCAAAGAGTCCTCAGAAAAGAACCGGAAACTCTGCATTGGAGCAGACCACAGAGGATGATGCAGGGGAAGGAAAGCATTACGGGGCCTCTTTCGAACTGCTCAGGGGCCCAGGTGACTGTTCAGAGCAGGAACTGTGTCTGCCTGCGGACAGCTAAGCCGGCTCCTGCCCGGTCCTGCCCAGCCCCGAGCACCCAAACAAAACATTCATGTTTAAAAACGGCATATTACTACAGAGACACCTCTAACAACTCCCACCCGGCGAGGCTCAAGGGATAGGCTCTGCACTCAGGAATTATTCTGGTGGTTCTTTGGGAGCCCCCCAGCTCCTTGAGCCCAATCTAACTGCTCACATGACACACGCCAGGGTGCCCAAGTTCTGGGGTCCCTCGAGCAGAATACCCGGAGTGAGGGCCACTGCGAGCAGCTCAGGTGAGCAGAGCCATGGCTACCCCTGCCGGGATGCTGACTTGGGGGCCATCGTGGCTCAGGGCGGGAGAAAAGACGTGAATGCAGCATCCACGGGGGGATGTGGGGTCCTTGGTTCCGACCTGTGTTGGGTCTGCCTGTTGGGATGGCCCCACCCCACCCGCACAGGGCCAGGAACGACCCTGGGTGTGACCGAGACAGCCCCTACCCTCAGCTGGGGTGACCAAGCCGCTTCCTCAAAGCTTCCGCACTGCTGACTGGGAACAGAAGGAGCAGAGAGGCCTCTCCCAGACATGCAATGACTCGCGTGGAAGGTGAACCCCAAGTCCTGTCACCACACAGGGTCGGGCAGGCCCCTGTCCTGTCACCACACAAGGGCATGCAAGCCCTTCCCTGCTCCAAGACTGGGGTGGGGAGAGACCATCGGGGGAGCCCAGGAAAGTTCTGGATTCCACAGGCCGAAGCCCAGGGATGTGAGCAAACCCACGGGGAGCTGGGTGACAGCAGCCCAGAAACCAAGCGAGCCCCAGGTTCTTTCTCTTAAGGTGCTGCTGAGACCAACATGCTGAGGGAAAGGGGGCCTGGAAATCTGGTGATGCACCTGCGTTCTGAAAGGTCAAGTCTTGAGACCAGCAGCAGCAGTACCACAAATCAACTCACACGCCCAAGAACGCAGGGAAATGCGATCGTGTCTCAAACACACCTGCACAAGCTTCCAATGGCAGAGGGTGCAGACAGGCACCGGGAGCGCTGGGGCCGTGCACGGGTTCAAGCTGACTCCCTGGCTTGGCACTGGGGGTCACACCAGGCGGGGCTTGGAGGACCATATGGGGTGCCAGGGAACGAACCCGGGTCTGCCAGGGGAAAGGCAAGTGCCCTACCCACCTTACTATCTCTCTGGCCTTGGTATGCCATTTTTAGAGGACATTATCAAGCTGATGTGTTTACCCCTTGCATCTTCCCCTTCATTCCGGTATTTATTTTCCCTTTCCCTCCCTTTCTCGCTGAGGCTGAGGGTCGCACACTCTAGGTTGTGGTTACCCACTTTGGGGGGGGGGGTTCCACTCGGCCTGCCAGAGCTCCAGCCATGCCCACTTTTCCCTATTTCCAGTGAAAAGTACGTCATAGGAAAAGCATCTGGTTGAAAACTCACATAAATCAATGCTTTTGGGTCTAGAGATTGTCTTAATGGACTAAGCATGGAGAAACCTCGCCGCACAGAAGAAAGAGCCAGAGTTCTGGCCCGGGCGCCCCTAAGAGCCAAGCTGACACTTTGAAAGAGAAATTTTTCAGATGTGCTCCCTGACATAAAGATAGTAAAGAAAACATATAAAATCATATTTGCAAACAAAAAACCACCTTTCAGAAAAAGACAACATTTAAAAAAGAAAAACTCTGGGGGGCCAGATAGACAGTTCAGTGCGAAGGTGCTTCCCTGATATCAAAGAGTCAAATATGGACCCCTGAGGACCCCCAAGAGTAATCCCTGAGCATCACCAGGTGAGGCCCCAAGCAAAAACCAAAGCAAAACAAATAAATATGTGCTGAAAATAACCAGTAGGAAACAGGCTGGGACGGGCGTGTGGGAGAAACAGGATTTCCCGCACACCCTGCACTCGGCCCTGAGGTCACACTGCAGAACCTCAAGAGTTTGAATGAAAAATGTAGGCAATTGTATTTCTAGAAAATGAGAATGTAAGATTAGAGTCTTCAGGTCTTGCCAAGACTCAATCAAGGGGAAAGGCGGTCACGAAAACAAAATCACTCACAAACCTACGTTTCTTCTGCAGGCACGTGGGCAGCGGCTGCGCTCCTCGAAGTGGGGGCCCGGGAGAATGCTCAGAACTTCCTCGATTCTGCGCCAACCAGTCCAGGAGAGCAGCTGGGCCAGCCACATGCTGACAGGGGCATAGCCAAGATGTCCGTGGGGTTCTGCGGAGGATTTGAGAGGAACACCCGGAGTCAAGCAGCTCCTCTCTGCCTAATGGGCCATGGGATCTTTTTTTTTTTTGGCGGAGGCCATACCCTGCGGTGCTCAGGGCTCCCTCCTGGTGCTGCACTCAGGATCACAACCTGGGTTGGCCGCATTAAAGGCAAATGTCCTCCATGCTGCCGTCCTGGATTTTACTTTGGGGAGGAACACAGTGTGCTTCAGCCTATCCCGCTGAGCCCTGCCATCTCCACCCTCTACCCAATTCCCAATCTCTCTCTTCTCTCCTTCTCTCTCTCCCCCCCACCCCCACCCCTACAGCTTTATGCATCAGACCTGGTGGTGCAGAGCTGATGCATGACTCTGCCCTCACCTCTCCTGGCCCTGAGTCCTTCTGTCTCAAACCAATCTCAGAAAGCTGCTTGGTGCCCCTGTGTGCTGGAAGGTGCCAGTGCCCAGCAGCCCGTGCAGAGGGCAGGGGCGTGGCCAAACCCCAGCACCGCTGGGTCTGAACATTCAACGGTCTGCCCGGGAAAGATTCCATCCAACCCCCACAGAAGAAAAACTGTTCATCAATTTGGTGAGAAACTTCTCCTATGGAAACTTGGCCCACTGGGGGGAGGGAATGTGGAGAGCTCTAAGCCCAGCCAAGCTACTCTCAGGCATTCTTCCAGGGGCCGAGGCCCCAGGGCACAGCCACGCCCAAATCTCCCAAGGGTGAGAGTGACATCCCCTAGCATCACAGTGACCCCCAGTCTGAAACCCCCCTCTCTCACAGTGACTCTGAGTCCAGCAGCCCCAACTGCCCACGGTGAGTCAGTTGTGTTGGTCCCCAATCCTCTTACTTGAGGCTGGCCTTTTCGCTGACCAGAGGCTTCCTTGAGCCCAGACCAGCCTCCCCCGCCCTGAGGCCTAAGTGGACAAGGGCCCCCGCTTCCCACCACCAGCCCCCATCTTCAAAAAGTGTCCCCCAACAAGCCCCACTCAGTCCTGGCTTCTGCAAGGGCAGCGCCTTCCCACCAGCAAGATGCCACACCACTGGGGAAATGTGTGTGTATGTCTATGTACGTGTCTGTGTGTGTGTTGGCGCGCATGCATGTGCGTGAAGGCTCGGCTCGCCTATTAGATGGCGTGCATGTGACTGCGTGTGCACGAAGACTCGGCTCACCTGCTCATTCACATCGTCCATCCAGAGGCGCAGGGTCTTCCAGATGGTGGGGTAGCTGTTCCTGCCCCCCTGCTGGGGCCGCAGCAGCCCGGCCTTCTCCAGGTTCTGTAACGTCAGGATGTGCTCGTAGCCGTATGTCTGCAAGAGAAGTTGGGGAGCCTGCTAGATCTCCCACTTCCGAAGAGGGAGCGAACATTTTCACTCTCATTTTGATACTACTGTTTTTGAGTCATACCTGGCAGCATGCAAGACAAGTGCCTTACCCCTTTCTAGCTCTTGGTTTGTTTTTGTTTTTTTTTTCTTTTCGGGTCACACCCGGCGATGCTCAGGGGTTACTCCTGGCTTTGCACTCAGGAATCACTCCTGGAGGTGCTCGGGAAACCATATGGGATGCTGGGAATTGAACCAGGGTCGGCTGCGTGCAAGGCAAACGCCCTACCCGCTGTGCTATTGCTCCAGCCCCTTTCGAGCTCTTTGGACCCCACATTTTCACTTTAAAGTCAGAATGCATTGGCCCAACGTAAGGAAGATAGATGACAGTGTACTCAAATAACTGAGTAGGAAAAGGAGGCCAACCACACCTCGTGACGTGCTATTTTCCAGATGTCTCCTTTGTTTTGTTTGCTTTTGCCCCCCCACTTCCTGTGCTCAGGGATCAGTGCTGGTGGGGCTCAGGGGACCCACATGGGTGCCGGGGATCGAGCCTAGGTGGGCCACGTGCAAGGCCAACTGCCTTTTAAAAAATTTTCTCCCTTGGCAAATTAGTCACTTAGAAACACTGACCTGGAGAATTTCTCTTTTGTAATAATCCAGAACCTTCTGCTTGACCCCACTGTTGCACACCGACTGCAGGCAAATGAGCCTGAGCACCTTGATGAGTGGATGCTTCTGGGCGATGCAGTCCTCCATGTAACTGTTGACCTTGAGTCGTGGCAGATTCATGCGTGAGAGCTGGGTCTGGGTCTGCAGGCCTGGGCGTTCCCGGGACCCTGAGAGGCCCAATCAAGGAGAGGCTGGAGACTGGCTCACGCTCCTGCCCACACTCCCTGGACAACCTAAGCTCCAGGGGCTGCGGGCGGGTGCAACTGTCCCACTTGTCAGCGACACCTCAGCAGCATCAGTAAAGTAGCAGGGACTGTGGGGAATTTGGGTGCTTGCTTGCTGCAAGTGAGAATGCGGGATTTATTGACGGGCAGACAGGAAAAGCGATCATATAACCCACACTCTTATATTATCCGTGATGGGCTTCAATAGTCTTGGGCTTCAGGGCTGGGTCTTGTTTCTCTGAGGACAGCGAACAGCAATGGAACACATGCGCACACACACACACACACACACACACACACACACACACACACACACACACACACACACACCACCCCCGGTCAACAGAAACCTATCCCTTGGCAGAATCTCTTTCCGCACATTTTGCACTGCCCTGGCAGGTATTTAGGCCAGCAACGGAAATCAAAGTGATTCCTTTCCTACCTCGAGTTCTGTTTGCCAATCTGGTTAACTATCGGCTAAAACGGTTTTATTGTTCACGTACCTTATCGGTGTCTATTCCGAACATAAACTCCTGCTCCACGGTTAACTGATCAAAGAAGTCTTTAGACGCTGAAACATAATTAACGCACGAGCATTTCAGAAGTGGGAGAAATGAGCATTTCTCCCAGAGGCATGCAAAGTAGCAAGCAAGCACCAAGTTTAAGTCATCACCGGGAAGGCACCTTCCAGAACAGTGAGGCTGACAGCCTGTGCCCCGAGGTGCGCCTAGACACAGAGCCCCGGGGCCTGGGCCCTAGCAGCTCCCCCTTCACACTAATTAAAGCAATTTCCCAAGGGCATTTTACTTTGGTTCGTTTGGGGGCCACCCCCGGTGGTGCTCAGGAATCACTCCTGGCAGGCTTTGGAGACCATATGGGACTCTGGGATCCAACCCGGGCCGGCTGTGTGCCAGGCACTGCAGTACCGCTGCAACTCCAGCTCCTTGCAACATCCGACTGAAACCAACCTCAGCAAGTAGTGCCAGATCTGGCGAAGCAGTGCTGGCGCCACCCGGAGCCTGGGAGAGCACTGCTGCACCACCTGACCCCGCAGAACCCAACAGTCACACTCGGAACATTTCTGCGAGGACACAGCGGCTAGCACAGGGAACAATGCACAAGTGAAACAGTAGCCGGGGCCCCCAGAAGTAGCAGGGAGCCAGTGACACACCCTGAGCCTGAGCCCGCGACAGGGCACTCACTCGTCACGTCCTGGATGAGCTCGGCGATGGAGGTGTGGTTGGCCAGGGAGCCCCAGGCTGCCTGCATGTGGGGTAGCTGGGAGACGAACTGCTTGATCTCGCCCACCGTCTTGTGCCTTTCCTGAGGGAGGGGAGAAGGTCACGACAGTACTGGGGACAGCACTCAGGGCCACACACACACACACACACACACACACAGGGCGTGACCCAGTCACAGCCACAGCAGTGCTGGGAAGGTACCCAAGGCCACACACACACACACACACACACACACACACACACACACACACACACTGTGCCTCAGCCCCAGCCCTGGCTGCCAAGAGTGCATTTCTAAGAGTTTAGGTCTTTGGGTTGCCCAGGGCACGTTTGAATCACGTGCAAGGCAGTGCCCCGGGCTTCCTCCTGGCCTGGAGCTCAAGGATCACTCCTGGCCTGCACCGGGACCACATGGAATGCTGGGGAGTGAACCCAAGTCAGCTGCATGCAAGGTAAGCGCCTGGCCCGTTGTGCTATCCCTCCGGCTCCCCCAAATTAATTTTTAGTGTGAGACACGGACACAAAACGAATTAGGCTATAACCAGATCCCACAGCCACACGAAAATAGAAAAGGCAGGTTGGTGGGTCCAGGGACTCCGACAGCCACTTCCTGCAGCACTGGGAGACCATGTGGACAGGGAGGGAGCCCAGGGCCCACGCAGGCCACACCTGACACTGCATGGTCCCTGCCAGGGATGTGGAGCTCAGCAAACTGCCTTGAAGCCACAAAAGCTAACGCTCGTATAGCCTGAGACCTCAACAACAGCAAATTGTTAGGTCCCTAGGGACCCTGAGGGAGATTCCAGAGTTAAAACTCTATAAATTAGTAACTCTCCCTTTCCTGTCCTCCTTATCTGTTACCTCCCTTAAGAACTCTTCCCTTATCCACCTCCGGAATGCAGGGCTGAGAATCAGAGGAAGCAAGGTGATAACCAAATGTCCAAGTTACCTGATGCCCACTAGTCACAATGCCTATGTACGTAAATGCTGGTCTTTGAATCTATAGGCTAAGGAGTGATGTACTTCTACATGGATTGGTTAAGAAAGCATATGTTGTTACAAATCTATTGGCTATGAAATGCGCGGGCTTTGCTGTAACGGCCAGTGAAGGCCTATATAAGATCCCCTTTGAAGAAGTTCGGGGTCTTGCCTCACCTAACTGACCTGCGTGTCTGTGTAGGCGGCTTGACCCTGGCTAGCCAGTCTTACAATAAACCTTGCTTGCTGTTTGCAGTCTCTGGAGTTTCTTTGTCGTTAAAGGGAGATCACGATCCGTGCCCTAACATTTGGAGGCCCCAGCGAGATCTCCCGACGGCAAACGGGCCCAGAGAGCGGGTTTTGAAAAGGCCTTAAAAAAAAAAAAAAAAAAAAAAATTTCTGGGGAATATTCCGTCTGTTCTGTGGGGGGACAGTGTCCCCTTCTGGACCGCGGCAGGGAAGTAGCTAACCCTGTGAGGACTTGGGGGGACATAGGGTTTCCTCGGGTCCTCGTCTGTCTGTTCTGGAGGCCTCGTCTGTTCTGGACCGCGGCAGGGAAGTGGCCAACCCTGACTGGGAGGACTTGGGGGGACATAGGGTTTCCTCGGGTCCTTGTCTGTCTGTTCTGGAGGCCTCATCTGTTCTGGAAAATCCGGCGCCGGGAGAAGACCTGGAAGAGCTGAACCCTCCGGAGGTGAAAATCACGTGCACGCCCTTTGGGCATATTCGGGAGTCCCAGGGTGACTGGTGAGTGTGGTGCGCACCCGTGTGAGAGAGTGGACCGGTCCGAGCGAGTGCAGGAGTGTGATCTGTGCGTGTGTCCTTAGTGTGTGTATTTGTCTTATTATCCTTCTCTTAGTTCTGTTTATTGAGATTGTTTAATATGGGTCAGAATCAATCGACCCCCAAAGCTTTAATTCTTGATCACTTCTCTGAGATCCACAGGAAAGCTCAGAATCTGGGCTTGATGATCAAGAAAGGTAAGTTTGCCAATTATTGTTCATCAGAATGGCCTTCCTTTGGTGTGGATTGGCCCCCAGGAGGTTCCTTCTCTCCAAACCTTGTGGCTCGGATAAAGGAGGCAATCTGTGGAAGATCTGCTGTGAAGGTATGCTCCCTTGGAAATCTCTAGGGGGACTGGGGGAGGAATGTGATAACCTCTGTGTGAATGTGTGTGTGTCTGAGCACCCTGATAGGTCCTCCTATCGGGCGTGATTTTGTAGCTCCACGACCTGGCACTCTTAAAGTCCCTCTAAAGTCACGGAGCTCGAGTGGGCTGCCTGCGACTCCACGGAGAACATACGGTCAATGGTGGCACTGGTATAGCTACCGGTCGCAAGTCACAACGCTGAACCACTAAGGCTAAGTTCTCCACCGGGCAGGCAAGCATCTGAATGGTCTCTGCAAAGAGGCACCCCTCCTTTGTCTGTCTCGCGTCACCGTCCACTATGGGAGGAATGGGAGGAGAGCCCACTAGTGAGAAGATCCTGGGAAACTAAGGCAGATCAATTTCTAGGTAGAAATCCCTTTCTTAAGCATTCTAACCAGCAGAATCAGCTAGAGGTCAATTCAAATGCTAATAGAGGCAGTCAGCAGGTTTAGCCCTAGGCAAAGTGAAGCAGAGAAAAAAAAAAAGGTAAAAAGACAGACAAGAAGTTTGTGGAAGAAAGCGTCAGCAGGGAACATTGGAATATGTGGCAAGCTAAGAAAGGCAGAACTTTTCTCTTCTCCCCTTAATAGGCTTATTGGAAACCCATGGCACTCTAGGTATGGCTCCACATGTGCAAGCCATGGTTGTGTGGACGCTCGGGAGGCAGGACCCAGGGATTCCTAGGGTGACTCAGAAATCTCTAAAGGAGACATCCTTTAAAGAGAGATTTTTCTGATGGGCTGGCATGCAGTTGTGGTCGTGTCCGTGCTCTCTCTAGAACCACAACACTAGAAACTATTAGGAGGAGAGCTTGCTAAGGAATTATCCTACCCTAGATTTTTTTTTTCCCTCCCTTTCATAGGTTATTGCTGACACTTAGGAGATATGGGAAATTCTACATCAGTACCTAAATATTCTCCTTTGGGTTGCTCGTTAAAACACCAGAAGAGCTTCCAAGTAGGTAGTTTAGATAAGGAATATCTTGTTGACCTCTGTAACACCACGTGGCCTGAGTATAAGTTAGAATATTGGGAAGGATATACAGTGAATGGCAGTTTGCATTACCAGATCATTCTGCAGTCAGATCTTCATAGGTAACAAAAGAAATAGGATTATCAAAGCAGAGGAGGCAGGAAAATGCAAGATCATGATACTAGCTCCCTGCCTCAGATTTAGCCTTGGCCAAAATATGGTAACATCTTTGTCATAGTTTATTTTGCCGGCTTATATCAACAAAAGCGCTTTCTTGACCCATTTTTAACAAGCGGGAGACTGGGAAATGGGGAGCAGAGTTCCCAATCAGCGATAAGGTTTCTTCGCCCTGGGGACAGTCCCTTCCTTTCTCAGTCCATCAGTTTCTCCCTGCCATTTTTTGAAGGGTCAGATTGATCGATCAACTACAGATATGTGCACATGTATGTGTGGTGTTTTAGTCAGTTCATTGTCTTGTTTGTCTGTCTGTCTGTCTGTGTCTGTCTATCTGTCTCTCTATGTGAAATGCTAGAGTGTTGGGACCAGGCTGAAATCAGAAGTAGAAATTCTAGAGAAGTCAGTGATATGCAACTCAGTGATTTAAGGAATGCAGTTGTTCTTGGAACTTGCTAGACAAGGTGGTTTAAACGAAGATTTCTTATCAGAAGTTTGAGCCTACAGAGAAAGCAGAATTCTCAATCTTGATTTCTTATTAGAAGAACGTTAATGATTATGTGATTAACAGTTGAAATCCTTTTGAACTTAAGAATCTTGTACTATCTAGAAGAGCTATGGAACTAGAGCCTGAAACTTAAGTGAAATAAGAGTTCAGAGAAAGCAAGACCTTATCTTATCAGCCTCAGCTAACTTTAATGAAAAATTAGGCCACTTTTACAAACTACAGAGGTACAGAAGCCATTAAAATTAAGTTTCCTTGTTTTCCTAAACTGTGGCAATTTATAGGATAACAATTGGACTTGTCCATTCCTCCTTGACAGAAGGAGCTAAGGTTTATCATGTTACACCCATCACAGTGCTCCTGAGTCACTTCCATTCCTTTGTTTTTCTGTAACCACTTCTCTATGCTCTCCTCCCCAACCAGATAATCAGCTTTCACCCTAGTCAGAATCTGTTATTTTGTAAGATCAGATCCTTCCAGGACACTGAACTTGTATTGTAAATTGTGAGTCGATCTGTTAAGTAAGAATCTGTCCTAGAAGAATGTCCTGACTAGTTTGGATGAGGTTAAACATTTTTCCCTTTCAAACTGCCTTCAGTAAATAATTTCAGTATACTGCAAGAGGCAGCTTCCCTTATCTCACAGAGCAGATCTCAGGTGCTAGCCAGGCCTGATCTTTGGGATGTAGATTCCCAGCTCTAGCCAGGCTAGTCTTTGGTACTGGCCTGCAGATGTAAAGAAGCAATGTATGTTTTGCTGCCTCAATGGTCTTTCTCCTTTTTGCCCCTTTAGAAGTACCATGAGATTTTGGGGCTCTCTACTAGGTCTGAGAGAACAGGGGAAAACATGCTTGAGAGAACCTGAGTTCCTTTTATGGGATATAATGAGACTGTAAGAATGGGTGGCTAGGAGAGGCAGGAGAGATACGGGAGTGAATGGAGAGAGGATTGGAATAAACTGCAACTAAGATCAAGCAACCTGGCCATAAGATTTCCTTCCTTTTCTTGCCCATCTCCATCTACCTCCCTGGAGTGGGGGAAACTACCGAACGCGGGCGGTGGGAAAGATAGATTGTTGCCATCCTTTTTGTGCTCACACAGCAATTCAAATATTTTCTTATGCTGATATCAAAGTTTGGTAAAAAAAAAAAAAAAAAATCCAAAGGGCTTTTTCTGTGTCTGAAAGCATGTTTGTATTTTTGTGGAATTGTTAAAAGTGTCTGGTATAGAGAGCTCATGATTTTAAATAATTAAGGTACAAGAACTATTGAAATTAAGCCAAAGAAAGTTTTATCATGTTCTATAAAAATTGATTGTTTATAGGCCTTTTGCTGTTATGTTAATGCACATATTTGTATCTGGATTGGATTAGAATATTTGACATAGAAGGAGTTAAAATGACACATGAAAACAGGTTCAAAAAATAATGGTTTAGTTTAAACATGAGTTTCTAGAGTTATAAAATTGGTTGCAAAGTTTGTCCTACCAGTGCTCTATATGATCTCTGAGACTCTTGGTTAACTAAAATTTCTAGAACTACTAAGAGTTATAAAATGGGTTCACCTCAGATGTCAGCCTTCTGTAATAGTTTCTGAGAATGGAGAATTGCATGGAAAATGTGGGAAATTTTACTAACTATCAGCCTGTCTATTGCTTAAAAGTGCATGCTATTATTTTGATAATTTTATTTCATGCCAAGCTTTGTCTCCAGATATCAACCTAGTCCTGACCTGAGAACTTTGTACCTAAATGTAAAATGCTTTCTGTTTCATGATAATCTATGAGTGTTTTAATCTTTTTGTATTTGTGTTTTCCTGTAAATCAGAATTTTAAGATGTCTCCTGGTTAATTTCTAATGTAAAGTGATCTTTTGCCCAGTGAATATACCTTGTAAGAGCTTTAATTGTGAGCATTTTAAAGGCTTTTTGAATATCTATAGAACTGATCTAATGCTTCTGAAATAGCAATGCAGAGTACAGCTTTGTCATGTTAAGTGAGATGGTTGGTAACTTGTGTCTAAATTTGGGAGATCACATTGTACATTGTACTACTATAGATGTATGTCATAAATCAGAAAGATAATGGATGGAGATATCATCAGTGGAGAAAAAAGGAAAGGAATTCTGTTAAAGTGAAGTTGATTTTAAATGAATGAAAGTTACAGAATGTATGTAAAGGAATGTGTAGAAGGTTTGAGGTTGTTTTAAAGAAAAGGAACTGATCAAATTGTTTTGTTGTAAGAAACTCTTTAAATCACATGCAGAATTGTTCTAGTACCTTTTTGTAAGATCTACGGGAAAGACACTGGACGGATTATCTGGACTCCTGTTATAGTGCTCTTAAGATAATTGAATTTTTCAAAAGTTGCAGGACATCAAGGGTTTTTGACATGGGGTTAAATGAATTAGACATGTTAAACTGTACACTGGACTCCTGGTACAGTGCTCTTATTAATGGGAAGTTAAAGTTTTTCCATGTGGGATTGAAAAACATGTTAAACGGTATGCTTTATGTCTACAGATTTTAGCTTCTCTGACTAGGACCCACAGCAAATGGGTGTATTACATCTCTGTGAGTAAAGTGAAATGCTTGCTTTTCTCTTCTTTTGTACCTTCAGTATGTTTTTTGATGTTTCATGGCACTATGTTGGTTTGCATAAATCCAGATAAGTCTTTCCTCTCTGTAATAGGGTCTACCCCTCATGCAGACAGGAAAAACCAACTATGGGACCCCAAAGCCCTCTTTCAGGGAACAGTCAGGGGATCTGTCTAAATGACAGGAGCAGGGATTTAACGGGTACTGTTTCAAGTACCCTACAAACCTCAGGGCGACCCTACAGGCAGGCCAGCTCAAGGAAAGACCGGAAATCATCACTGCTATGGAGAATGAGGAATCCAGGACTCTGCAATGACTATCTCAGTCTGGGCCTACTCTCAGCGTCAAGGAAAAACCTGGAAATCAGGATTTCTCCCAGCCCTGAAGAAGGGATGGGATGGACTCCTTTCTGCCAGGACATCTCTGTGGAAAATGAGGCCCGAAGGCTCGAGGCCATCCAGTTCGTCGTGGGACATCTTCTGGCCAGGCCTGGGTAGCTCTGACGTGCCAAATCAGATTAATGCCACTATTGGTGTGTCTCCTGTCTTTAGCCGATCCCCAGGACTTCTCAGTAAATAATGGGGTATCCCAAATGGAGAGTTCTCTAATCTTACTGTGTTTATGCAAAAGAACAAGCTAGATTTGTTAAGCTATCTTGCAAAGTTTTAAAATGAAGGTGGAGAGAAATGAATGCTGTCACTAGTTCGATCAGAGCTTTACTAGGGTGAAGCTCATCCCAAAGTGCAGAATTGATTTCCCCCAGTCTGTGAATTGGCCAAAGTGTCAAGAAAGGGCATCTAAACTGGTTAAGTTAGAATGGATTAATAGCTCGTTCTAAAATACTGTGAATTTTCTTTCTATACTTTCTGTATTGCATCTCATTTTCTGTGAACAGTCATTTGAGAGAACAAGGATGTTAACAGCTCTTAATTTTTGTTGCATCATGGGATTAACACCAGAGAATGTTTCCTCTAAGCAAGAATGCTCTGCAGAAGAGGAACGACGGACATTGGAGGTTTCCAAAAGGAAGATGATGGATGATTTACCAACAAGGAAAGTTGCTAACTCCTGGACCAATGCAGTGGAATATTATTAAAGGGACTCAATAGCAAGTAAGGTAGAAGTAACTCAGAACTGTGCTTTCTGTGCCATTAATGAACCTAGTGGAAATCTTGATCCTTCTCTCCTAACACCTGTTCAGCATCAAGGAACTTAGAGGAGGATCGCAGCTTGGCTTTATGCAAATGATCAAATGCTCATATGTTCAAGGTATAAATATCTGTTGGTTCTTATTGATAGCTTCAGTGTATGGGCAGAAGCTTTTCCAATCTGCACTGAGAAAGCCAGAGAATGGCTTGGTGTTTCTGTGTCCAGTAGAAAAATCTGGACACAGGAAGTCATTTTTCTATCAGCCAAACCTGTGGGTAGAGAACTCTGTCCTTACTGGGTCAGAAAGGAACTTCTACTCCTCCAGGGTCTAACCCTTTCAAAGTGATATCCCTCAGTCTAATCGAACTGATCTTTTCTTTCAGATAACTTCAGGAACCCAACCAATTCATTGCTGAGGGCCACTAAAAAGCTGAGGTAGCATGAGATTTCACCCCTTGTGTAGGCAGGGCCAGCGCCCCATTGTCAGCATGAAGCAGCTCCAGAAGATGGACCTTCTGCCATTCTCCCTTAAAGATTCAAGGTGGTGGAATCTCTGGGGGGGTGGGCAATAGGATGTAGGCAGGTAGATAGGGAAGGCCCCCTCCCAAGGCAATGAAGAATGGGGATTTATGTGTGGTGTTGGGAGAAAAATGCTGCTACTCTATACTGATCACACAGGGATGGTCTGAGACTTCACGGCCAAGCTCGGGGAGGGCCTTGAACAACGTCGGAGAGAAAGGGAGGCCTGGGAGAATTGGTTTGAGTCTTGAAAATCCTCCTAATTCTGGGTAACAATACTGGACCCTGCCCACTGAGGAAATTACTCCTCTGTATGAAGAGCCCACTGAGGAAGATTCCTCAATATGAAGTAGAGAAAGGGAGGAATGTTAGGTCCCTAGGGACCCTGAGGGAGATTCCAGAGTTAAAACTCTATAAATTAGTAACTCTCCCTTTCCTGTCCTCCTTATCTGTTACCTCCCTTAAGAACTCTTCCCTTATCCACCTCCGGAATGCAGGGCTGAGAATCAGAGGAAGCAAGGTGATAACCAAATGTCCAAGTTACCTGATGCCCACTAGTCACAATGCCTATGTACGTAAATGCTGGTCTTTGAATCTATAGGCTAAGGAGTGATGTACTTCTACATGGATTGGTTAAGAAAGCATATGTTGTTACAAATCTATTGGCTATGAAATGCGCGGGCTTTGCTGTAACGGCCAGTGAAGGCCTATATAAGATCCCCTTTGAAGAAGTTCGGGGTCTTGCCTCACCTAACTGACCTGCGTGTCTGTGTAGGCGGCTTGACCCTGGCTAGCCAGTCTTACAATAAACCTTGCTTGCTGTTTGCAGTCTCTGGAGTTTCTTTGTCGTTAAAGGGAGATCACGATCCGTGCCCTAACACAAATCAAGTGTAAAACGTTTCCTGGGTCCAAGCTATACAGTGGGGGAGGCGCTTGCTCAGTGCCCGGCCTCCCCACAGAACCCCGAGGCCTGCCAGGAGCCAGCCCTGAGCACTGGCAGCGGGAAGGGAGGGAACTGGACACCACGGCGAGCTCGGAGCTGGCACAGTGAATGCCCGACACTTCTTATCCATATCTTTATAAGTCACGGTGAGGAAATAAAAAATTGAGGAACAAAACCCAAGTGAGACAAAAGCAACTTCAGAAATACAACAACAATGGGGTCAGAGTGACAGAACAGTGGCGAGGTGCTCGCCTTGCATGCGGCCAGCCTGGGTTCGATCCCCAGCATCCCATGGGGTTGCCTCAGCCCACCAGAAGTGATCCCTGAGCGCAGAGCCAGGATTTAGCCCTGAGCACCTCTGGGTGTGCCTCCCCTCAAAAAAAAAAAAACAACAACAAAAACCCCAAAGAAATACAAATACTGATACAGTAGAGATAACTCCTAAAAAAGATGAAATCAGGAAGTCCATCCTTCAAGGGAAAAAGTGATTTTTAAAAACTTCCCCAGAGTTAAAAAATTCAGCTTCTATCATTTTACTGATTCAGGTTTCAAAAGTGAGCTGAACCCAGAATAAAGAGCAGCAGGAGGGCGCGAGGTGCTAAGGAAGCTGGGGGCCGGGGACTGTGCTCTCAGTATCACCCGCCGTCCCAGCCTGCTCGGGCTGATCCCGGATTCCCTAGATGCAGGAGCTAGCGGAGATGCCGCCACCACCAGCGGCTGGGAGGAAGGAGAGAGGGACAGGGAGTGCGGACGGTGACTGGCAAAGGACCGGACACCTGGCACCACCTTTCCCCAGGCGCCCGCAGCCCGCCTGCCACCTGGCCCCAGGCCCCAGTCATCTCAAAGGCAGCCGAGATGACCTTGGCCTTCTTGCTGAGCACGGCGCCCACGGCGTTGAAGTTGCAGTCTCGGATCTCGGCGTGGAGCTCCTCGGCTGAGTTCAGAGGCAGCTTCTTGGCCTCTGTGGGCAGGTCCTGCCCGTCACCCTGCCTCTTCGGGGCGAATTTCTCGGGTGGCAGCTTTACATGACCTGCACGGGAGGGGACACCCCAAGTGAGACTCCAGAGACTTCCTTTCAGGGGAGAGCACTGGGCTTTGAGTCACTAGCTGTGCACGAGCGCAGGACGTTCACGCTTTTCACGCACGGGTTCCCTGGCCTGGCCCATGGGCCGCCTTCTGCCACTGCCAGCCCGAACCGAACTCAGGATGGGGCCACCCGAGGAAACATGCCCCAGGGCGGCTCAATGTCTGTCCTGCTGGCCTGTGCAAGTGCATGCAGTCTACACCGACATCTCAACAAGCCAAGAGGAGCCCAGGATGGGGCTGGAGTGATAGCACAGCAGGGAGGGTGTTTGCCTTGCACTGGGAAGACCCTGGTTCGAGTCCCAGCATCCCATATGGCCCCCTGAGCACCGCCAGGAGTACCTCCTGAGTGCAGCGCCAGGAGTAACCCCTGTGCATTGCCAAGTGTGACCCCTGTCACTGTCCTCCCATTGTTCATCGATTTTGCTCAAGAGGGCTCAGTAACGTCTCCATTTTGAGACTTGTTACTGTGTTTGGCATATCGAACACGTCACGGGTAGCTTGCCAGGCTTTGCCGTGCGGGCAAAATACTCTCCGAAAAAGAAAAAGAAAAATAAGATCCCAGGAATCACCTCAGCATGGAAGTGTGCATGAGGGCGGGAGACAGCTCCGAAGGCTTCTTTCCTTTCTTTTTCCTTTCTCTGATATTTGGGCCACACCTGTCAGTACTCAAGGCTTATTCCTGGCTCTGTGCTCTGGGCTTATTCTTGGCAGTGAGTGGGGGAACCATATGCGGTCCTGGGGACCAAACTCACCCTAATTGCTGCACTGCCTCTACCTCCAAGTTGGTTCCTTTTAAAAAAACATCTCCTCCAGTTTCAACACAAATCCCGACGTGTCTACACACCATCAGCTCCCCTGCTGTGGGTCCAGAGAGACGGGTCATCAGGGGCAGCTCACGCTCAAGTCCAGCTGTCTTCCTCTGAGCACTGCCCTGTGTGGGCCCTGAGCACTGTGGGGTGGGTGCTGAGAATCATAAAGCAACAACAAGAACTCCTGCACCGGAAAATGTGGGGAGAGAAAGGGACCGACGGAATAAAAACACTTCTCGGATGCTTTCCAAATCCTAAGCCGCTCCGAACAGCCCGGGCGCCAGTGTCTGGAGACAGCACGCCACGGTGGCCGTGGGACCCGGGGCCTGAGCACATGCTGAGATACACGAGGTCGGCAAGACCTCGCATTCCAGCTCAAAGCTGAGGGGCAGCCGCTGGCCCAGGCAGCCTGCACGCAGCTCCTGCACAGGCCTGCCATCGCCCTCGGTCCAGCCACGGGCACAGAGCTGGGGGGTTATGGGGAAGCCCAATTTCCCCTTGTTTTTCAGATTTCTCTTAACGGTTTCTTTTGGTGGGGGGGGGGGGTTACACCCAGCGATGCACAGGAATTACTCCTGGATCTGCACTCAGGAATTACTCCTGGCGTTGCTCAGGGGGCCATATGGGATGCTGGGAATCGAAGCCGGGCTGAGCCGTGTGCAAGGCAAACGCCCTACCCACTGTGCTATCACTCCAGCCCTCTCCCTTAATTAAATGTTTGATCAACAGGAAGTGTGTGATGTGAAGAGACTGTGAGTTCCCGAAACTCCTTCCTCCCGGAGGCACCCCTCGAGCCCCATCTCTCACACCTCCGCACCCCCAACCCCAGCACCTCTGCCAGATCCCCCGAGAGACTTGCAGAAGCACCGGGAGGTGGGGACCCCTCGCCGGGGTGCTCCTGTGCCAGTGACAGCTCGGAGCAGGAATCTGGGGAGGGGCTGTGTGTGTGGCATCACCCCACAGCTGCTGCCAGGCACAGCCCCGGTGGCCCCAGGGCCATGGACTGGCCCCACAGAGCAGAAAATCACCGAGATCAGCCCCACAGTCCCTTGGGCACTGCTTACGAGTGTCCCCACAAAAGGAAACAACTTAAGAAGTTATCCTTCGGAACAACTGGTAAAAAACAAAACGGAAACACCTCCATAATTATTAAAGAGCAGGGAAACACTCTGTTGTGTGGAAATGCCTCCATGTGTGGTCCTGTTCTGCTTCCGTGGCCGCTGTCACTGAGCCATGCATTCACCACTGCAGTAACATACACACTAACACACATGAACACACACATACACACACGCCATCGCAATCCACTCTGCGATAACCAGCTTGGCACACTGGACAGACAGCACTGTCCGGACTCGGCCAGCACTCAGCAGCTGCAGGGCTCTGTGTCCCCAGAGAGACCCCATGCAGTTAGCTGCATCCCCGTCCTTTCAGACCGGGGCTCTATCCCCAGGGCTGTTCCCGGCCAGGGCCACTCCTAAAGGCGCTGGAGTTACCCCTCTTGCGGCCTGGGGCTCCCTGTTCTGAAGAAAAGACATGAATCAGACTGTGGGAAACTTCTCAGACTATATCCCAGCAGGAGCTACTCCTGGCTCAGTGCTCACCGGACAAGGCAGGAGCGCAGATGGAACTGAGCTCTGGCTGTGCACCTGGCACTAGCTCCGTGCGCTTTCCTGGCCCCCACTCAGATCTGAAGTGCTACAGAATCTAACATCCGGGGCCAAACCCCCCTGACCTCGGACCCAGGCAACCCTCAGAAACACTCTATTCCTCACGCCTCCCTGGACGGCCTGAGCAGCGGGGCTGCACACCGCATGGACCTCTGCACAAGGCCTTCGCCTCGGTTTCCCCGATAGTGTCCTGGCTCGAGCTCACTTTAACCTTGGGCTGAAAGTCAGTGCCTGACATTTTCAAGTTTTCTGACTTACACACAAAGGCCGCACCTTCGAAAACAGACACTTTTGAGATTGATTTTACTCAGCTAACCTATTAGTAACTGATGTCACTTCACTTACTGTTCTGGATGCCATAAATTTCATCGATGAGTCCCTCGTATGTCAGCTGAGTCGCAAGGGGCGTTAATAAATCCACATTTCGATCAAGCAACAAGAGGTTATCAAAAACAGGAAATATGGAATTCTGGCTTCCTGTAAACTCTCTCTTCATCCTGATCATCATATTGGCCACTTGCTGGAAACAAAGTACAGGAGCCTTTTTAGCAATGGGCGGATTTTAAAATGAAGCTAAAAAAGAGTCCAGCAATCCAAAATTTAAAAATAAGACGGAAAAAAATCGAACAATAAAATAAAACAAGACAGGCCTGAGACAGTATGGTGGGTAGGATGCTTGCCTTGCAGGTGGCTGACCCAGGTTCAATTCCTGGCACCACATCACTTAATCACTTAATCACTTAACTTCCCGTTAGTCGTCGATTTGCTCGAGCGGGCGCCAGTAACGTCTCCATTTGTCCCTGTCGCGTGCTAGTGTAGCCCAATGGCATCTCTTCGCTCCGGGAACATGGAGGGCCTCAAACCGATCGTTCATGACCTTGACAAAGAAGTCTGACCATCTGGTAGGTGGGCGGCCACGTGGTCTCTTGACATCCCGTGGAATCCAATCAGTAACAGCTCTAGTCCAACGGTCGTCTTTAAATCTCATTACGTGACCAGCCCATCTGATTTTCGACAACTTGGCAAATGAGACAGCGTCCCTGATCCTTGATCGTCGACGGATGTCAGAACACCGGATTCGTTCTCTCATTTAAGTGAAACGTGATATTCCAAGCATAGCTCTTTCTATTCTTCTTTGGGAGACCTGAATGGCGTTCTCATCTTGTTTGCGTAGGGCCCAGGTCTCTGAGGCATATGTTAATGCAGGAAGAACAGTGGAATCAAAGAGATGTGCCCGGAGCCGGAGGTTCTTCGTCCTCTTAGCTATTTCTTCGACGTTCTTGAAGGCGTTCCAAGCCGCTCTCTTCCTCCTGCACAGCTCGGGTGCCAGGTCATTTGTCATGTTGACCTCTCGACCTAGGTACACATAGCTGTTGCATTCAGAGATGGTCGTTCCATTGAGAGAGAATGGGGCGTCAGGAACAAGGCTGTTTCTCATAAACATTGTCTTCGTAAGATTCAGCTGTAGTCCTACCTTTCCACACTCACGGTCAAAGTCGGCCAGCATTTGTGCCGCGTGGCTGATGTTTGGTGTTATTAAAACAATGTCATCAGCAAAGCGGAGGTGGTGTAGTTGCCGACCATCTATCTTCACTCCCATTCCTTCCCATTCCAGTCGTCGCATGATGTTCTCGACACTACTTCCACTACCCAGCCGTCGCCACACTCCAGGACGCTTTCCGGACCCGCGCGGCAGCTCCGGCCGAGACCCACGCACAACTGAAGACCCACAGAACAAGGTAAGCGGAACTCTCTGAGACCTTGGACTCCAGGCTCGGCGGACCCAGGGACAGAGCTTCTCGGCTTGCTCCCACCACCACAGGTGACAAAGGGATTCTAATCAGGAGCCCCACCCTACCCTGCCCTGTCTGCTTCCATCAACCACCCAGGGATCGAATTGTGCACAGGAGACCCACCCTACCCAGATAAATACCCCACTGGCAGACTTCCACTCTCGACACTACTTCCACTACCCAGCCGTCGCCACACTCCAGGACGCTTTCCGGACCCGCGCGGCCGCAAGCGACACATCATAAGACACTAAATACCCGTCCTCTGGAATTGTCGTACCATATTTGATAGGGTTCAAATATGGTAACACCTACAAGGGTGATTAGAGGTCACCCCAAAAGCCTCTATACCTCTCGGAAAGACTGGCAAGCTACCCAGAGTATTCCGCCCGCACGGAAGAGCCTGGCAAGCTATCCGCTGTGTATTCGATATGCCAAAACCAGTAACTACAACTGGTCTCATTCACCTGACCCTGAAGGCTTCACCGACATGGCAGCACTGAGAAGGATGAGAAAGGAGAGGCCGACAAAATCTCAAGGCCGACCTAGGCTGCCACAACGAAGGAAGACAAAAATGATCGTCTGTACTTTCAATGCACGTACGCTAGCATCAGATGCATCCATCGAGGACCTGATGGTACAAGCGCGAATGATCAAGTACGACATCATTGGTCTGACCGAGACAAGAAGACACGAATCTCACCATGCTGTTTTCGACACTGGAGAAGAATTGTTCCTAGGAACATGCGATAAAAGAGGTGTTGGAGGCGTCGGTGTCCTTGTCAACACAAACTTGGCCAAGAGCATTGATTCATTCGAATGCCTAACAACCCGAATCGGACGTTTACATTTGAATAGATGTGGCTCACTGCCTGCAGTTTCTATCTTCGTTGTCTACGCACCAACATCTCATTATGATGAAAGAGAAATCGAGAAGTTCTACATGGAGCTAGAGAAGTTCTATAAAGAAGACCACACCTTCTACAAGATCATTGTGGGTGATTTTAATGCCAAGATAGGACCGAGAAGATCAGCTGAAGAACTTCACATCGGAACCCATGGCCTAGAATGGAACGAACAGGGTGAGAGACTGTCTGAGTTCATCATGTCGACCAAGACCATTCATGGTAACTCACAGTTCCAGAAGGCAGAATCTAAACGATGGACATGGGAGTCTCCCGGTGGACGATACCACAACGAAATAGACCACATCATATTCAATCGACGGTTTTGCCTGACTGATGTCGCTGTTGTCCCAAAATTTCGAACGGGATCAGACCACCGTCTCCTTCGTGCAAAATTCTACTTCACAGAGCGGGGAGAAAGGGCTGCAAAGTTCAAAAAGAGAACTCCCAGAACGACCACCAACTGGGAACTCTTCGGTACTATTGCGGCAACATGGGAAGATGCCATTGTTGACAACATTGACGAGGAATACGATCGACTGGTTCAGCACCTCCATGAATGTGCGAGGAACGCCAAGAGAGAGATAGCCACAAAAAGTCGCCTATCTTCGAAAACTCCTGAGCTAATTCGCCAGCGAGGTTTGGCGCATGCCTCAGGCAACCGCAAGCTAACGTCCGAGCTTGCAAAGCAGTGCAGAGATGCGATCAAGGAAGACCTCAAAGAGAGAAGAGCAGAAGTACTGGTAGATGCGGCAGAAGCCGGGAAAAGTATTCGTAAGGCCCGCCTGTCCTTCGCCAACTATAAGACCAAGATGACTGCCCTCCGACGTCCTGATGGATCCATCACATCCTCCAGAACGGCAATGGAGAAGATTATCCATGACTTCTACTCAAATCTCTTCGATAGCCATGTCCACTTGCCGACATACCAAATTCCACAGGATGGGTATGTCGTTCCCAACGTTCTCCCTTCCGAAATCCGACACGCCATTTCGTCAGTAAAGAAGCAAACAGCACCCGGCCCAGACAAGGTCAGACCTGAACACCTGAGGAACCTGCCGTCAGTACTCATCAATACACTGGCTCGGCTCTTCACTCGCTACCTGTCTGAATGCAAGGTTCCATCTCAATGGAAAACCAGCAGGACCGTACTACTGTTCAAGAAGGGAGACATCCATGACATTGGCAACTATCGCCCGATCTGCCTATTGTCTGTCATCTACAAGTTGTTCACTCGAGTCATCCTGAATAGGATTGGCAGAACACTAGATGAAGGACAACCATGTGAGCAAGCAGGGTTCCGCAAAGGATTCAGCACCATCGACCATATCCACACGATAACCAAACTCATTGAGGTTTCTCGGGAGTTCAAGATGCCGCTCTGCTTAACGTTCATTGATTTAAAGAAGGCCTTTGATTCTGTTGAGACGGAAGCGGTCATTGAAGCCCTAGCCAATCAGGGCATTCAAGCCCAATACATCAGGATCCTCCATGAGCTGTATTGCGGATTCACTACCAGGATCTCACCATTCTACAAAGAAGTGATCGTTGATGTCAAGAGAGGGGTGCGGCAGGGTGATACCATTTCACCAAAACTCTTCAGTGCCTGGCACCACATACGATCCCTCAAACCCTGCCAGGAGTGAGCCCCAAGCACTGCTGGGTATGGAGAGGGTGGGAGGAGGGAGAGTGCGAGAGAGGGAGGGAGAGTAGGGATGGAAAAGAAAAGATAAAGAACAGAAAAGAGAAAAGGAAAGAGGGCTGGGAGACAGCAGAGGGGCCAGGGGTCACGCCTTGCACGCAGACAGCCTCAGTTTGGTGGCCCGAGCACAGAGCCAAGAGCACTGCGAGGTGGAGCCCCAATCCCCACCCGCAGGAGAGAGGCCCCCTCCCCGCCCTGGCTCACCCTGGCGCACTCGCCCTTGCCGAAGATCTGGGGGATGGTCCCGTACAGGGCCTGCAGCGTCATCAGGCCCTTGGCCGCGTGGTACAGGCTCGTCTGGTCGCTGTCCAGGTAGCACTCCTGTGGGAGAGGGCCGGGCGCGTGGGCACAGGCTCTGCGAGTCAGCACCGAGGCCCCAAGGCAGCGCCTGTACTGGGGGCCAGCATCGCTGGGCAGGCGAGGAAAGGCTGGCCTCTGCATGCCCGCGTGACCACACAGCAGAACACGCTGGGCTTGCAGAAGGGCAGGCAGCCTCTCCCACATACAGCAGCAAGTGTCACAGGGGACAGGAGCAGGGCAGCCACGGTCTCGGAGAAGGGCCACAAGGTCCATTTAACACACAGACAAAAAGAAACATCTTTGGCCCAGAAAGAGGGAAGAGCACGCACGCGCCCCCAGCCGGGCGGTTCAGCAGGTCTGACAGAGCACACACAGTCCCCAGCGGGGCCTCAAGATCACTCCTGCGCCTCAATCCCTTCATCCAGCAAGTGCAGAGAGCAGAGGAGGGAAACCACGCAACGCACTTCACCTGCACTCCACCTGATGGGACGGCACTGCTAGTGCCCATCGCAGGACTCTCTTTATTTTTTTCTTTTTGGGTCACACCTGGCAATGCACAGGGGTTACTCCTGGCTCATGCACTCAGGGACTACTCCTAGTGGTGCTCGGGGGACCATATGGGATGCTGGAAATCGAACCCGGGTCGGTCGCATGCAAGGCAAACGCCCTACCCGCTGTGCTCTTGCTCCAGCCCCTCATCGTGGAATCTTTGACCCTGACTAAAGCAGCGGCCTACGGGAGTGCACCCCAAAGGCGTGAGGACTAGGGGTGCAGAGTGGGGGCGGGGTGCAGAGGGAGACTTCCCAGATAGCCTGGCCCAGAGTGAGCACAGTATCCCCAAAGGTCCCATAGGATGTCTCTGCCAAGTCTGGGGTGCAGCCTCACACTTCAGTCCAGAACACCCTGGTTGGGATGTCCAAAGAGTCCTCAGAAAAGGACCAGAAACTCTGCATTGGAGCAGAGCAGAGAGGAAGATGCAGGGGAAGGGAAGCATTAGGGGGCCTCTTTCGAACTGCTCAGGGGCCCAGGAGACTGTTCAGAGTGGGAACTGTGTCTGCCTGCGGACAGCTAAGCCGGCCCCTGCCTGGCCCTGCCCAGCCCCGAGCACAAAAACAAAACATTCATTTTAAAAAATAGTTTATTACTACAGAGACACCTCAAACAACTCCCACCTGGCGAGGCTCAGGGGATACCCCTGGCTCTGCACTCAGGAATTATTCTGGTGGTGCTTCAGGAACCATATGGGTTGCCAGGAATTGAACCTGGGTCAGCTGCGTGCAAGGCAAATGCCCTCCCAATGCATATTGCTCCAGCCCTTGTAATTCCTCTTTAAAAGCCCCTAGGGCCATATCTGGTGGTGTGTGGGTCCCTCCTGTCCTGAACCCGGGGCTCCCCAGGTGATGCTGGGGCTCTAGCCCTCTAAGCTATATCCCCACCACCCATAATTCCGTATTAAAAAAATTTTTTTTGAAGTTAACCACAGGAGCCAATGGCACAGCGGGTAGGGCGTTTGCCTTGCACATGGCCTACCCGGGTTAGATTCCTCCGTCCTTCTCGGAAAGCCCGGCAAGCTACCTAGAGTATCCTGCCCGCACGGCAGAGCCTGGTAAGCTCCCTGTGGCATATTCGATGTGCCAAAAACAGTAACAACAAGTCTCAGAATAGAGACGTTACTGGTGCCCGTTCCAGCAAATCGATGAACAATGGGAGGACAGTGCTACAGTGCTAACAACAGAGGCCAGAGCGATAGTGACCAATGCCAGGCTACTAGAGTGCCAGGAGTACCCTCTGAGCATCGCCAGATGTGTCACTCACACACACCCACACCCACACACACACACGTTAACAACACATGTCTACCCTGCATGCTCTGCTCTGCTGTAACTGGGAGTGGGGTGAACCTTTGCATTATCAGCCGAGTTCTACTCTTCTCAGTGGATTTCACAGGGCCGTTCAGCCCCCAGGGCCATTTGTGAGGGTTCAGCGCTAAACCCACTGATACTACATACACACATTTTTACTCAGTCCCGCCTCTATGAGTGGCGCCGGGAACATTGGGGCTGGGCACGTTTTCAGGCTGACTTCCTGGCTTAGCACTGGGGGTCACACCAGGCGAGGCTTGGAGAACCATATGGGGTCCCGGGAACGAACCCGGGTCAGCCGGGGCAAGGCAAGTGCCCTACCCACCTTACTATCTCTCTGGCCCTGGTACGCTGTTTTTAGAGGACATTATCAAGCTGATGTGTTTCCCCCTTGCATCTTCCCCTTCATTCCGGTACTTTTTTTCCCTTTCCCTCCCTTTCTCGCTGAGGCTGAGGGTCGCACACTCTAGGTGCTGGTTACCCACTTGGGGGGGGGTCTCACTCGGCCTGCCAGAACTCCAACCATGCCCAATTTTCCCTATTTACAGTGAATAATATGTCATAGGAAAAACATCTGGTTGAATGTGTAAACACACAAAAAATAAAAGGGCCGGCGGTCTATCTCTCCCACAGCCCATGTTCGGTGGTCTCAGGCCGTTTCCCCACTCCGGGGAGGTGGATGGCATTGGTCAGGCGAAGGAAGGAAATGGGGACCAGGCTGGTTGGTCTTAGCAGCAGTTTATTACAGGGAAGAGATATATGTCATGGAGGCCCCAGGATCTCTCAAGCATGTGCTCCTTTGTTCTCTCAGCTTAGGTCCTCAGCCCCATCTTCCCAGGTTCTCTGATGCACATGTCCCCCCAGAGAGCCCTTAAATCTCCCTTACATAGATCACAGTACCTCTAAAGGGCGCAATATAGTGATGTCATCAAAAGGAGTTACAGAAAGAACATTGAGGCAGCAAACCATACATTGTTTCTTTACATCCACATTGTTTCAGGAATCCTGGCCTCACCTTTTACAAGCTACAACAAAGCACTTGGATTAGCAAAACAAAGACCAGTCCCTAGAGCTTGGAATCTACATCAGCCTGCCTGGAGCCAGGCATCTACATCCCAAAGATCAGGCCTGGCTTAGCACCTGGGATCTGCATACCTAAGGCCAGCTAGGTTCCTGTGAGATAAGGGAAACTGCCTCAATATACTGAAATCATTTACTGAAGGCTGTTTGAAGGGGAGAAAGTTCAGTCTAATCCAAACTAGTCAGGACACACAGGAAAACTGCTTCTAGGACCTATTTCTCCTCTCCTTGTCCAACCAACATATAAGCATACATAATATTAATCATTTTGTATGGACACAGTAAGAAATACTTTGAGCTTATAGAATTGCTCTCCTAGGGCCATCTCGATCTCAGACTGCAGTGCTCAGGCCAGATATCTTTCCTATTCCTAGCAGCAGGGTCCTAGTCTCGTCGTTACTTTTGGATCATGACAGCATTTGCCTATGATCAAACTCTTAACTTATAGTTAAGAACCGTGGCACCTTGGCCTGGCCCATCGCGATGCCAGGGTAGCACATAACTTACTGGCTTGCCCTGGTACCATCCAGTCCCTCCTCGGGACCCTGCCCTTGGGGTACTAGGAAGTGAGGGCAACTGAGGCTTAAGTTGGGAAAGCAGATGCCCGGGAGCGAATAATATCCAAAGCCAATTAAATTCTAAGTTATAAAGCATAATATGAATTAATTGTCTTCCTGTATCTATACAAAAGGACACTGCATTAAAGTAAACTGCTCAAAAGACATAAGGAGAGGAGAAAGGCAATATTAACTTACAGTACAGCTTCAGTGTCTAAGAAGGATGAGACCTTACAAATTGGTTGGGGAAGAGAGCATAGAAGTGGTTACGGACAAAGTAATGGGAGAGACTCGGGAGCACTGTGATGGGTGCAACCTGATAAACCTAAGCTCCGTGTACTCCAACAGTTGAAAACTCACATAAATCAATGCTTTTGGGTCTACAGATTCTCTTAAGGGACTAAGCATGGAGAAATCTCACCCCACAAAAGAAAGAGCCAGAGTTCTGGCCCAGGCGCCCCTAAGAGCCAAGCTGACACTTTTAAAGAGAATTTTTTCAGAAGTGCTCCCTGTCATAAAGATAGTACACAAAACATATAAAATCATATTTGCAAACAAAAAATCCACTTTTCAGAAAAAGACAACATTTAAAAAAGAAAAACTCTGGGGGGCCAGATAGGTAGTTCAGTGCAAAGGTGCTTCCCTGGCATCAAAGAGTCAAATATGGACCCCTGAGGACACCCAAGAGTAATCCCTGAGCATCACCAGGTGAGGCCCCAAGCAAAAACCAAAGCAAAGCAAACAAATAAATATGTGCTGAAAATAACCAGTAGGAAACAGGCTGGGACGGGCGTGTGGGAGAAACAGAATTTCCCGCACACCCTGCACCCAGCCCTGAGGTCGCACTGCAGAATCTCAAGAGTTTGAATGAAAAATGTAGGCAATTGTATTTCTAGAAAATGAAAATGTAAGATAAGAGACTTCAGGTCTTGCCAAGACTCAATCAAGGAGAAAGGCGGGTCATGGAAACAAAATCCCTCACAAATGGCTAACTGGAAAAACGCAGTGACAGACTTGACTATTTCTGGCTGGAGCGGCCCTGCCTTCCACTCTCGAAGCTTCCTCCACAGGCAGTCAAGTCAGGGTGGGACCGGCACCAGGACAAACATCGACCAGCAGCAGAGAAACACCAGAAATAAACACATTTAAGGGCAATTGATTTTTGAGAATTCAGTAAGGGCATTAACAATTTTAAGCGAATTCGTTGAAACAGGAGGGTCTCCATAAGCAAGAGGAGCAGCGGCCCGAGAGACAGCACAGGGGAAGGCGCTGGTCTTGCACGCAGCCAACCTGGGTTCTGTCCCTGGCACCACATATGTTCCCCGAGCATGGGCAGGAGTGATCCTTGAGCACAGAACCAGGAGTAAACCTTGAGCACTGCTGGGTGTGGCCCAACTCCCGTCTCTCCCCAAAAAGGAAGAAACTGGAGGCTTCCAGGAATCACTGAAATGCCAGTGTCAGTGTCACCATCACAAACGAGGCAGAAACGAGCGTCAAGTTCAAAGGGCAAACACTGAACTTACTCGGAAGGCACCCTCCGACTCCATGGAGAGAAGGTCCCCGTCGAAGGGAATGAGGTCCAGGCTGTACTCCTCCCTGTGGATGAAGGAGCCCAGAACGCCCCGGTCCTTCAGCCGCTGCTCACACAGCAGGCGACACCGAGGCACAAACAAGATGTGAAAATCTCTTGTGGGGCCACATCTGTCTTCACTGCAAGAGAAGGACCGTGCGTTAGCCCGAGGCCCCGAGGCGAGGACTGCTCCCCAGGGCCCCACATGTGCCTGACACACAGTGGGCCCTAAAGAGACGCTTATGAGCTAACCCCCACCACTGACTCGGCCCAAGATTCTAGTTTTCTTGCTCTCTTGATTTTGATGCTTTTTCTGGAAACCGCTGACCTGTGCTCTGCCATGGGGCAGTGTTACTTTCTCTTGGGCCATTGGTGGGACATGAAAACTCTCAGGGTTGGGGCTGGAGCAACAGCACAGCGGGTAGGGCGTTTGCCTTGCATGCGGCCGACCCGGGTTGGATTCCTAGGTCCCAGCATCCCATATGGTCCCTTGAGCACCACCGGGGGTAATTCCTGAGTACAGACCCAGGAGTAACCCCTGTGCATTTCCACGTGTCACCCAAAAAGAGGGAAAAAAAAACCTCTCAGGGTTATAGCAACGGACATCTGTTTCTTGCAGAAAAAAAATGTTTCTATTTAATCAAGCGATGTCTCTAGGAAAATAAAAGGTTGCTCCACACCATGCCCGATTTTGCTCAAATACCCCATATGCTTTTAAGTCCTTAGGGGCCACGTCGATCAAACGTAATGCAGACTGGGCTGGTGCACTTCCTCCATAGATGCTGCAACATTAAATTTTAATCAGCTTCTTCTGACTTTGCTTATGAAGTTTGAGCATATGGTATTCAGTACTTGAAAAAGAACCATTAGCTGTTTTTCTTTTTATAAAGAAATTTGGGTCCTTCTACTGAGACAGGCCGGAGCTTTCTACTGTCCTGAGACAGGGGGGTTATGTGGTTTGCCCTGACTCCCCAAGCCCCAATACACAAAGTTTCCCATTCTCTATTTATAGTTTTTGGACCACCCCGGCAGGTGCTCAGGGATAACTCCTGGCTATGCACTCAGAAGTCACTCCCGGGAGACTTGGGGACCGCACTGGGTTCCGAGGATCTATCCTTGGCTGACTGCAGAGTTTCCTGCTCCTGACCCCCCATTCTCCTCCGACACACTCTCACATCTGTCCAAAGATCCACTTCCCAAAGCGCTGGCAAGCAAAGGTGTCCTGATGAGCACTCAAACCACTAGAGGAATGATTCTGTATGGACCCAGCATCAGCTCTGAGATACCTAAGCACATTTTCAGCCATTATATCCATCAGTTCTAGCCAGGGTCTGACGAAAAAATTGATATTCTTGACATCGGCTGCTGGCAAGAGGCTTCCTTTGAGTGTGAACATTTTCTCCACCTCATGTTCCTAGGAAAGCACACATACAAATGGTGAACAGAACCCCTAAAACTTACCAGCCGACCCAAACTTGGGCATCACTGCAGGCAGCCAACCTGGGTTGGATTGCTGGCCTCCCACACCGTCCCCAAACACCACCAAGAGTCAATCGTGAGTGCAGAGCCAGGGGTAAGCCTGAGCACTGCCAGGGGTGGCCCAAACAAAACAGACCAACAACAAAAACTCAGGTGTTGTAACACTCCCACTCCAAAGCACAGTATACTTCAGTGTTGAGTCGGAGAGTGCAGGGGTTAAGGAACATGCCTGACACATGACTGCCAACTTCGCCCCCTGGCACCACAAGGCAGGAATCTTGACTTTCCTACGGCATGTGTTTGAGGGCTGGGCTGGGGTCTACACTTCACAGACAGGAGAGCTGGGTTGGTCCCCAGCACTGCATGGTCTCTGGAGGCGGGAATAACTGCAGAGCACTGCGTCCCCAAAGCAAAGCAAAACAAACTTATTTGGTAACTGATCCCACCATAAGATTATTTTAAGAGTTCCTTGCTCTAAATCTAACACACACTTAGAAAATCTGATTTTGAATGTTTATTCAAAGTGAAGGGGTTTAAGGAAGATGAGCAGATTCTAATTTTTGGGGGGTGGGGTTATACCGGGAGATCTCAGGGGTTCCTCCTGGTTCTGCACTCAGGAATTACTCCTGGCAGTGCTCAGGGGGACCATATGTGATGCCGAGGATCGAACCCAAGTTGCCCGTGTGCAAGGCAACTGCTCTCCACACTGGAATGTCGCTCCAGTCCCAGATCCCCATTCTTTGGTCAGGACTATCCAACTTGCCTGAGCCATGAGCTCTGAGGCAGGAGGAGAGGGCAGCTCCTTGGCGTGTTCCTGACACAAGCCTGGAACATTGCACAATCCCCCGGCAGGCTGTCCATGACAGGGCATGTGTGGCGACCCCTACATGGACATGGCCAAACACACCCCGGCAGCTGCTCCTGCTGACGAGTCCTCACGGCTAATTCCCTTGGTCTCCTCTCAGCTCTCACTTCTACCGTGCAAGCCACAAGTGGCTAGAGAACATCGGGCCTCTTTACCGATGCCCGGGTCACAAATACATGGGCCCCTTTAAAGCCACACGCTTTAGAGTTGGTGTCCTGAGCAAAAGCAGAGGGAGGAGAGCTGGAAGGGAGGTCTCCGGGGCCAGAAACCTTTCCCAAGGGATCACACTATCCAGATTCTTTCCTTACGACTTACATAATATCCAGATTCTTTCCTTACGACTTACATAAGAAATAAATCAGTCATGATGCAAACACCTTAAAGTGTTACTGGGCAACCTTTAAAAATGCAAATGACAAGAACCAAATATTAGAAATAGGAAGAGAAACGCAAATACAGCCAGGAGAACTAAATTGGCATTGAAGTTCTTGGCTGTGGCTTGATCTTAAAGGGTGCGTGCTTGTGTGTGTGTGTGTGAATGTGTGTTGTGTGTGTTGTCCAGAGTATTTTGCAAAACAAATGCAAGACACAGAGGGACGAAGGCAGCCAAAAATTATATATACAACGACTTGGTTTACTAAAATATATATATGAAATTTATTTATTATAACGTGGATAGACTTGCTTTAGTCTTACCATCAAAGACACAGAAAGAGAGAGAAGGAAGCAGGAGTGGGAGGGAAAAGAGAGGATGAGGTGAGCACGGCAGCGAGCGAGAGCGGAGACAGCCAGACATCAGCACCCACAGTGAGCTCAGGACCGCGGAGACTGCCTCCCGGCCCGCAGAGTTCCTGACCAAAGGCCGCGCCTGACATTCTGGTTCTGGTATCCTGCCGCAGACTGGCTCGGTCGGGAACCACCAGGCTGAGGGACGTGGGAGAAGGTTTACAGGAAAACAGGAGATTCGGCGATGACAGACAGACACCAACACAAGTGAGGTTGAGTGCTGCTGCGATTTTACTGAGCACAGAGTTCCTTTTTTATACAGTCAAGGCAAAATCATAGAACAAAGGGCCAGAATACAATCGGACATTACATCATATCGTGGTCACTTATTGGTGACATATTCCAAAAAATATCGAGGGACAAAAACACTTTCTTAATACACTTCCTGCTTCAAATTAGGACAAAACATTTACCTATGAATTCTTTACAGTGATTACACAGGATTTAATGTCTAACCATGGTTCCCCTTTCTACAGAGTTCTTTATCATTGTTTTTCTTCAGCAACTTTTGTTTTCATCTGACAGGGTCTTAACCACACATCACAATCCAGGAAGGGTCTTGGACCTTCCCATATATTGGTTTGCAACACTTTGTTTTTCTGTTAATAAACTCCAGGGTGTATGTGCTTGAATCAGTTTTTGTATGGGGGGATAGAGGTTTCACAATGTCCCTCATTCTCTCATATGGTAGCTTATTGTTTTCTTTTATGTTAGGCACCCTTGCTTGAAATTGAGGGCTGTACTGTATGCTAAGGATCTAATTGTTTCAGCCACAATATTTGGCGGTTTTTCTGGCTCCTGTTATTGTTTGGTTTCACTTATGACTCCTGACCTTTGTCAAACCTAACATCTCCTTAGTTTCCTACAGATTTCACAATGATTAAAAGCAAACTATAACTACAAAGCTTCTACTTATTAATTCTAAATACCTAACTTATAAGTAAAATTGGCAGGCAACCATTATAAACTCCATCCGGGATGCAGAAGAGCCACATACCAAAGTGCCACAGAAGCACACAAAGCTGGATAAGAAAAAGGGGGCGCCGGAGGCATAGACCCAAAGGTCGCGAACCTCCCTTTCCCGCGGGACCTGGGCCAGGCCCAGGTCACCTTAGCAGGTTGCTACGCGGGCGACACCGTTGACGGCGTGGCAGTATCCGTCCTTGGCCGTCAGGGAAGTGGGGGATGCAGAACAGGACTTCCCCCCACCGTCGTCTGCTCTGGGCTTTAGCAGTGGTCGGAGCAGGGCAGGACTGGCCCTGCCTTCTGCAGCTGGACCTGTTTTGAACCTGTCTGAAAACCTAACTTGGAGACAAGCTCCCAAGAGAAACGCTGACTTTCACAATGTGCAGAGACACACGTTTGGCACACATTGCGTGCAGCTAAGCTGGAGATAACAACAGTCTGGGGAAAACCCGCAGCAAACCCAGGGGCCTGGTGAGTGCAGCCGACTTCCTCACTCAGAGGCAGCAGTTCTGCGCCTCCGTGTGGGAGCCCAGGATGGAGAGAGCCTCCGCCATCAGGACTGGACGCCACCAAGGCCCTTGCGGGCAGGCAGCAGTTTCTGCATGAACCCAGGGAAACTGGACCTAGACCCTTCCTGGGCTTTCAACCTGAGAGCAGAGCAAATTCCTTTTAGCTTTTTATCTACCATCACACTCAGACCTACATCTGAGTCCTTTACAATCTCTACCTGTCGATTAAGATCCTGGGATTAGCTACAATAGAGTCGTCTTCAGATTTCTAAATCAGACACAACTTGCCATGAATAAGGAGAAGAAACAGTTCAATATTTGAGACCACGTTTTAATTTTTTTACTCCCACACACAAAGAAAATAAAGTCATCATTTGTTCCTTAGATTCACTGAAAGTTTTTTTTTCTTTGGGGTGGAAGGGTGCACACCTGGCCATGCTCAGAATTTACCCTGGATCTGGGCTCACGGTATCACATGGGGTGCCAGGGATTGAACCCAACTCAGCTTTGTACAAGACAAGATCATACCAGTTCTAGGACTTCCCCGGCCCCTGAAAGAGTGACTTTCCATGGATGGCTGCATAAACATTCCTGGGACATCGGGGTGTGGGTGGGGGGCGGGGAGCAGAGGCAATGAGACAGCAGAGGGAAATGGACAAGTGGTTAAATCGGTCATTTATTTTTTAAAATGTATGTATTATTTTTTGCCGGGGGTCACGCCCAGCGACGCACAGGGGTTACTCCTGGCTCTGCTCTAAGGAATTACTCCTGGTGCTGCTCAGGAGACCATATGGGATGCAGGGAATCGAACCCGGGTCGGCCGCGTGCAAGTCAAACACCCTACCCCGCTGTGCTACCGCTCCAGCACTAAGTTGCATGCCAAGACGAGTGTCTTAAAAATCAAAACCAAAATGAAACAAAAAACTGCTTCGCCTTCGGACAGACGGTTGCCTCCTCAAGCCAGGGCACCAGTCATGATTCTGGGGGGATGTGCGCTGTGGGGAGCGCAGGGGAGGATGGGACTCTGGTGTCTGTGTGCCCCCAACTTGGGAGCTGTCTCCTGCAAATAGCACCAGGGATGAACTGACCATTTGGGACCAGCTCTGGGGGGCTGGGAGGATGAGCGGATGGAAAGAGCCGAGACAGACGGCAACCATGGATGCGCAGCAGACCCCGACAACCGCCACTCAAGAGTACAGAGGAGGGGGTCTCCCTGCAACCAGAACTCACAGTGGGGTGGGGTGGCGGGTGCGCTGTGTCACAGGGAATTACAGCACAGTAGAATTCATGGGAAACGCATTTCCCTTCCTTGTGTCCTCCATCTTCAGCAGCCTGGCAGTGGGCTGGCCTTGGGGATACTCCTGGCTCCTTGCTGGGGGCTGGGTGGAGGGAGGGAACTCTGCCTCCTGCAAAGCCTGTGCTCCCTGAGGCCCCAGACTTCAGATCAAAGCTCAGATATGCTTAGGCCCATCTGCCTCTTTCTTTTCTTTTGTTTTGGGGCCACACCTGGTGATGTGAGGGGCTTACTCCTGGCGTTGTGCTCAAGGATCACTCCTGGCTAGGGGAGGATCCACCTGGGATGCCGGGGATGGACCCTGGGTTGGCCTCAAACAAGGCAAGTTCCCTGCCCGCTGTGCTATCCTGCAGCTCCCCTATTTGTCCATTTCATTCTGACTTTCGTTTGCATTTCTGCAGCAAGTTCAAATTCTGGGTTTATCTGCTCCACCTCAGTTCAAGATGTTTTCCATCCTGTGGAACTATGTCTTTTTCTCCTGGTACTCTGGTTGAAGTTTTTGTTCTCCT